TTATTTTATTAAAACAAATATTCATGAAGCACGTTTATTTCGTAAGGGTGATATTAGTAAATGAGTATATGAGCAGTGTGCACTGTAATAAATAACAATATTAAAATMTATTACATCTCGAACGAGAAATATAAACTATAAAAACTTACTGCTTTTGTCGCATTAACAGTCAATCAGATCAGTCATCATCGTCAGGGATCCTACTATTTGGCGGGGGGAGTCAGAAGGACCCATGGTACTGGGGTCTGGACTTTCAAATGGCCCACCATTGATGTAAAAAAATGCTTCAATAAATATTAGAAAAATGATTGGTTCAAAAATGTAATGTGGGGAGCCCGATCACTGTCATAACTTTTCGGCGTTTATTAGCTATAATAACTAGGAGTGAATACCGATAACATTCAACTATTCAATGACGATGTAAGTTCGGATACCAAGGTTTAATCGTCAAACTCAAACCAAATATATTATTTTGGTCAAACTAATAATTATTACAACAATARCATTAAACTTTTACGGTTTACAACTTAGATATGTAGGTAAATAAAGCAGATCCTTAAATTGTTAAATTTCAGATGAAATTTGCCCCTAAAATAAAATTGTAATATTTATAATATAAATTTTAAGAGTTCCTACTGAAATAGTCTAAAATGTATAATAGTTATAACGCAGAATCCGTTAAGTAATGGAATTAAATTGTGCATCGGTTACTAAGGGCAACCTGCTATAGATACTATACCACAGAATACCTATAATATGAAATATATATTTCATATATTCTGTGATTTAGTGATTATACTATGATAAACTAAAACACAACAACTAGGGCTACTTTAGGGACTTATAGAAGTTTGCATGTTTGTTAATGTTTGGTCGTCATCGCAACTGATACGGTTTTGGTTAGGTAAACAGAACACTGGACGTGTATATAGTGGAATAATATAAATCATTGACATAGTCATTAGTCGCCACTTGCCAGTCGAGTTTGATGTCTGAATCGTGAATCGTGATATAGATTATAGAGACTATCAGACAACTACTAACAGTCATCCCTACGCTCTACCCATAGATAGCTTAAAACACGCCTACACAATATTTTGTTGGACCTCTCATACAGATTTGACAACAATTTTACACCTGACGCAACCTCATTTGTCGCCTTTTACGACAGACTGAGGAGCCGTGGAACTCACGTAGAAGTATTCTAACCCCTTTCCGCAGGGTTTATAAAATACTTAATACTGAAATACAAAATATTATATTATATTATATTTGATAGTTAACTAGTTTTTATTAAATAATGATATTAACTATAGACATTTTATCAAAGATAAAGAAGTTAAAAAAAAAAATCTAAATGTTAAGAAGAAAGTTCTGAAAATGTATCATAGATTTTATATACTCAAAATATTTTACCTACTTTTTACTTGACTGTAACGATGAGAAATCTTCATTTTCCTATTTCTGACAAATSACAAATATATATTTAAGTTTTGAGATTGAAAAGTTGTTTAATTGTAGATCATAATAATAAATGAATGATAAAAGAATAAAGKAAAAATTGTAAATTAAAGTTAGATTTGTGATTGTTTTATATTAAAAAGTTTGTTTAGTTGTAGATCGACATAGGAAAACATAAAAGTAAATTTTCCCTAATGATAACAAATGATTTCTATATTTCCAACACATTTTTGGCCTTTTGAAAACACTTGAGTCTGTAAAAAGTGGGAGGAATTAGTGTTGTTAAAAATAAGAGCGGTTTGAGATTTTACCTTTTTTTGTATAAATGTATAACTCAATAATAAATTACGCCATAATCTTTGCAGTAACAAATTTTATATTTTTAGAATTATTTCTAATTATAATTACACTATGATAAAATATTGTTACTCCTTTAGTCCACGCGAATAGATCAAAATATCAATAATATCRATAATCAATTACTCACTTGGTAATTATTACAAATACCACATTAGTACATTACCATAATACCACTATTACCACATTTACCAGGTATATCTACCTACTTTTTTTTTTTTATTAAATAAAGACTTACTGACGTATGTCATCTTAACTTAGTGTTGAATAGATATATATTTTTTTTTACACTTGAAAAAAGATACAATCGGATACGTTTAAGTATAGAAGAAAATCA